GATCCACATTTTATCTTTCTGTGACTTTTCCTGGGGGAAACAGGTTCTGATTGGCTATGCCTCCATTAATGTTGGTTTTATATTAGATCAGTTTAGTGATTCTTTATTAGTTAACCTAAAATGAGTTTGTCCGGATTTTATATTTGTATCATTTAGGTGCAACTTACTACCTTTTTTTTCCCTAAATACAAAATACATTGTCTTTACAGACAATTGAAAAATATAACAGGATCCCGGCTAGTGTCGCCCAGTGGATTGAGCATCCTCCCATAGACAGAGATCCCTGTTTGATTCTGGTCCGGGCACATGCCCGGGTTTCAGGCTCGATCCCCATTGAGGAGCGTGCAGGAGGCAGCTGATTAATGTTTCTCTCTCACATCGATGTTTCTATCTCTCTCCTTTCTTCTCTCTCTAAAAAAATCAATACAAATAAAATAGAACAGGTAAGAAATAATAAATTATCCCACCCAGAGACAAATATTATAAATATTTTAATTTTTTTCCTTTTATCTTTTTTTGGAAAGCAGTTTTACAAATTGAGATCTTCCTGGCAGGAGAAAGGGTAACCCTATACCACCCTTTCTGATGCTGGTCAAAACCAGTGTGGCTTTCTGAGGGTTTTTTTACTTACAGGACATGGTACTTTGGGCCTCTGATAAGTGCTGGGTGACCTTTTATACCTTTTTATTAATTTCCTTTGAGGCGGAACCTTCTAAATACAGCTTAATGTGAAATGGCTTGAGAAACGCTTAGGGAACACTGCCGCAGGCCCCCCCCCCCCACCTCTGACGGGTGCCGGGTCACACACGCACTCACTGCAGACGCTCACGGGGAAATCGATGGGAACAGCGAGTCTTGGTTAATTTGTTTATTCTAGGTGTGGCGATAAAACATTGGTAACACACAAAAAAGTAATGGCTGACCAGATATTTTAACGGATTGGTCAGCTAAAAGTAATGGTATGTGGAATCCTGCTGGAAAGGGTGCCTCTCCCCGTGCTTTATTTATTTATTTTGTTTAACATCCCTTTTAACTTGGTCTGAGATTGATTGAGACATTATCTTGGACATTGGAAGCTGTGAGCCTTATTGGAAGGACAAACACTTGATGGGTGGAAAACAAACTCGGACAAGGTTCAGTGTTTGGTTTTCCATCGAGTATCCAGAAGGAATGTTGCTGTCCTCATTTAGCATAGGGGACAAAAAAAGTTGCACCTCATTATCAAATTCAGTGTTTTCTGAGCCTGACAAACATCTCTCAACTATATCTGCTTTATCATAGGGTGTCATTAATCAAAGTAGGGACAAAAGTTCACCACTTGGGCCATTACATTCCTATCCACTTTGGATATCTGTGTCAATTTAGTTCACAAAATTTGAAGTATCATGAGTGTATATTGTCTTTTAGAGGGATTTATATGCATATGCTCTGAGCATCATCTCTTAGGTCAACAGTCATAGCAATCATTTACTAATACAAAAACATAGCATAACAGAAAATATTATGATAGGCATAGTGGCTATATCTTATTCATGCAACTATGAGGGGAGGAAATGATCCATTTACTACTCTGTTAGATAGACAGAACTATTAAACTGATTATGAGAGAGAGGTTAATATAAATTATTTATTTTTATATTGATTAATGCCTTTAAGATACTTAACTAAGAATACTCTTTACATGATAGGCAAGTTATTTTATAAGTGTGACATGTATGAAATGAATTGATTTGGGGTTGTCAGCTTTACTCTGAGTTTTAAATAATTTCACTATATCTGTCTGCCTGACATCTCCCCACTTTATTCTGGTAATAGAATTTTTCTTTTCTATAGAAAAATAGTACTTGTGGTTTGAGTGGGGGACTGTGTCATTGTATCTTTCTACCAACACCCTTCCCATGCTTACTGCATAGTCACCTTATGCCCTAGACATGGTGGTTTATGGCCATGATGGTTCTGGACTTTTCTTTTGGAGCCATCAGGAACTAAACTTTCTGCTAAGGTTGCCAGAGGGTGAGAGTCTGGGCCTGCCTCGTGGCAAGAGCCTGCATTCGGGAATACACCACCAGCCTCAGGAGAGGATCCGATAGTGCACTTGATCCTCAACCCAGTAACTTCTAAAAGCTGGAGGATAAAGCCCCCGTTGAATTTGTTTTGTTTGTTTATTTTTATTTTTTGGTTTTTACTACTTGCAACCACAAAAACCTGAGTAATATATATAACAGATCGTAGGATTGCTGGAAGGCAAGAAATGTGAAGGACTATCTGACTGACTGGAATGAAAAAGGAAATTTTTTTAAAGAATTCCAAAAGATTGATGGATTTTTTTTATGAAGAAAAGAGACTGAGAGAAAAAAATTTGGAAAATCTAACACAGAACATAAGGTGTGTGCTGAAGGAAAAAACATGGTATTTATTTCTTTGCAATACATTGCTCAGATGTTTGAAATTTTAGTCTTCATGTATTTGGACATTGGAGGCAAGAGGCATAGACCCATATAAGGTTGACTTAAATTGGAAAGAGCAGAGGTGGAGCATGGATGTAACTTGACCCAAGGAGTCAGTGTTAGGTCTTTCCTCCACTTCCCTTGTGTCCTGTTCAGGGGCACAGGCAACCTAACAGAAGGGAGTATATATTTTCTTGGGCTTTAGTTTGTAAAATCCCCAGGAAAGACTCTCCGTTGGCCCAATCACTGTGTCAAGGGGAAGGGGGAGGGGAAGGGGAAGGGAGAGAAGGTGCTAGGCTATTGGCCATTTGGAGCCCAGTGAACAGAGCCTTCTAAAAGAAGGCAGGTCAGGCACAAGCCTGGCCCTGAACCCGTGTGGTCTGAGCAGGTGTCCAAGCCGTGGTCACTGTAGCATATAACTCTGGTGTATTCAAAGTAGTGGGGAAATATTAAAAAGGGACAGAAGAGTCTATTTATATTCTAAGGGTTGGTAACACTGCACTTGCATTTTATTTTCAACACATATAAAAGGAGTTTTACTTAACTCCTTCAGAAGTATTTGGACCCAACTGAAATGATAATAATATTATTAAAAATTATTATAAAGCACAGAAAAATGTAATAGATTAAAGCATATTATAGGTTCTAAAGTGTTTAAATTTCTCATCTAAATATACGTCGTTTATGTTTTGGAAATGTGGTTTAACTGTCTAACCCAAAGCAGTAAACCTAACTGAAAGGCATTACAGAAAATACATGAAAAACAGAGCAAAGTAGTGTGGTGAGCTCTGATCCCTTGGTGCTAGGAATGAGCCCTCTCTGTCTTAAGTCTTGGTTACATTGTATTTCTACCCAGATATGGCTTGTCCTGTACATTTAAGCATGCCTGGGAGGAAGAAGCTGCTGTCCGACTGTGGCACCCTGGACCTCAGCTGACGCAGTCTGGACCTCACTTCCCATCTTTGGGTGGCTGATTTGCCAGAAATGTAGAAAAAAATTATATATTTTTCATCCAGATGAAATAATTCATTAGAATTCCTGAACTAGGAATTTGCATATATACACACACAGAGACTTGAGAATTGCCAAAATAGTTATTTATACAAGAGTTTCTGTGTTATATAAATAACACCATACCAGCATTTAAATGATGTTATTTTTTATTGGAATCCTCATCAGTCCTGTGAAATTAGGTCAACAGTCATGAAGGAAAGATTATTTGAAATACCTATAGAATGTGTTTGAATATTGGAGTAGGGAGGGACTGTGAACAGACAGAACATTTTAATTGCATGTAACTTGAACTAATTCAATAAAGAACATACTCCTACAGGTAAAGAATTTTTAACACTCATAAATTATGTATTATTTTTAAATGATGTAATTCGATCTACAAATGTATATATTTGTGTACTGATGCTTTATTTAATAAATTTCTTATTGAGTGCTTATTTGCTTAGCTCTCTTTAACATTAAGAAAATAAATTCACATCTCAGGAAGCCTGCCATTTAGATTAGATGAGGTGAACATACTGAAACGTTCAGTGCTTTTAAATTGTGGCACTGTTGAAGGTACTAGAGAAGAAGCCTGTATCATTACGAGTGATGTGAGGGATGTATCGTAGGTTTAGGTTTGATGTGATCCTGGGAGTTGAGCGGTCTCTGTAATATCGTTAACCTGTACCTGGTGCTGGTCTGACGTAAGCAGAACCATCAATCCGGAAAGTAGAGGAAAGCGGGATGGACCTTTAATCTTCAAGGATTAGCTGAAACTCATGAGAACACACTGGAACCATTTGTCTCTCATGCTTCCAAGCCTGCACCTTGGATGATGCAAATGACCTGCAGAAGAGCTGGGGCACTTCATCGTGGAGTAGTACGGAGACTCGGCCCAAGATTAGGAGACATGGATGAGCTGGGGAACCGGCCACCCCAGTGCTCCTCCCAGCCAACCAGGCGAAGCCGCAGATGCACAGTGTGTGTGAGCTGCAGTAGTGACCTTGCACCAACTTTCCAAGTGTAAACACAGCTACCACTTCCTTCCTACCTCCCGGATCTCATGCCAGCATCCCTCGTAGCAGTTCCTAACCTCCAGTGATGCAGGAACGGAATTCTGGGCAGCCTAAGTCAGGGTGGCTAAATTGACACAACATGGCCATCACGGTTCACCTGTAGGCTTGCCCTCCATACACCTTTCAGTCACATTTAACTTCCAAATAAAGCAATATCAAAACATGCTTATGTCAAGCACAACGAAACTGTCCCTCTTACAACCTGAAACAGTGGCTTTGAAGAATGCAACTGTGTGTTTAACAAGTGGTTTTCAAATGGGTAAAAGAGGAACTGGGTATATTCCTGACAATTAATGCATATAATGTTTAAAATGTGTTTCTCTAGGACCTTTTCCTCCAAAGAGTACCAAGAGTATTAATTTGTACCATCCAAGTTAAAGTGAAATTTAACTGTGGAAAAATTTGTAGAACTAAGGCAGAAGAGAAGAATTATTTTCACTGTATAGTTAATGTTTTCTATCTTTTTTCAACTTCTTTGCAGTTTTTTGAGGTGCCATTTGATTCAAACATGAATAGGACAAAGAACAGACCTCTGGTTCGTGGACAAATCAGGTAAAATCGTGAATATAAGTCTCACATTACAGAACATTCATTTGCTTGTTCATCCTGAATCATTTCCCAGTCTTTTACCTTGAGTTATGAATTGAAAATAACACATTCCTAAAGGGACATATTGGTTTGGATTCACAGTACTTTTCAGCTCTAATCAAAATGTACTACAGAGCACTTAAAATGCATCTGAGATTTAAGATTTTGTTGTGGGAGCCCTGGCAGGTTTGGCTCAGCGGTTAGAGCGTCGGCCTGTGATCCGGAGAGACCCGGGTTCGGTTCCCGCTAAGGGCACGTACTTCGGTTGCAGTTTGTCCCCGGCCCTGGTTGGTCGTGCGGGTGACAGCCACTCGATGTGTCCCTTCACATCGATGTTTCTCTCTCTCTCTCTTCCTCTCTCTCCCTCCCACTCTATCTGTACAAAAAATGGAAAAATATCCTCAGGTGAGGATAAAAAAAAAAAAAAGATTTTGTTGTGGGAGTAACTCATGCAATAGATTTCTTATTCAGTTCAATTTTGAGAAATGAATTGGTTTCACTTATAGTGGCTATAGGTAAAATCATTCTGTTAACACAGATGAGTTCCAATGAATCCATGTAGGGTCACAGAAAAAATTACATCTGAAGCTTATTTTCTCAGATAAACCGATAGAGAATGCTGCTCTGTGCCCAGTACTGCTGCCATTGCTCTTTTCACTAAATTCAGTTCAGTAGAACTAAAAGGCATATAAATATTTTAACATCACTGATGGTTAATAATTAAACATTTTACTTCCTGGAGACCTTGAAACCGGCATTTAAAATATTTTTTAATCCAGTAGATGATCATAAACTGAGAAGAAGAAAAAGAGGCAAATGATTTACACTGACTGTTCTGAATCTGTGAGGGCTCTTCATATTTCCAGTCAGTGCCCTCGGGGAACCTAAAATGTGTAGGGGTAACACCCGTGGATCCAATAAGCACATGTGTTAACTAAAACAGTAAAGGAAACAAATGCAGATATCATCAGTAAGTCCATGTAAAAATGATTCTTAATATTAACTGTTTTTAGGCATTCGATTCTTAAATGAATTTAAAATACCATTTTATTGAAAAGAACAATAAAGCCAGAAGAAAATATATGAGGACAGAAAACTCATCTAGTTATATTTTCTTTCCTTTTTTGAAATATAAGTAATTCTATCATCTGTGTTTATGATCAGAAAATGTCAGAGTACTTTTATTTGAGGCAAGTTGCTTTAGATGGGAGAATGCAAACCCTATAACTTGTCTCAGAACCTAAATGCTGCTCTTGCCGCAGGTTAAATCACAGGTAGGTTCTTACATATGCAAAAATCCTGTTCAGTTGTTTTTCCTCCTTCCAATCAATGGAAATATGGGGACAGACCCAGCCAGTGGTCATGAGGCGTATAGCGGTAATCAGGTAGAAGCCACTCACTGTACTGGTGGCTCATCTGGCTTGGCCACGTGGTCGCTTCCGCACTCGGGGAAACAGTCTCCAGCACTTCCGGAACAGTGTTGTGGCCTTGGAGGGTGGTGTCTGCAAGGCCCTTCTTTTCGGAGAGAGACTATAATATAATTATCAGTCTCGTTAAACTTGTAACTTCATTCTCTATTTGCAAGTTGACCCAGGCAGACTCTCATTTATGTAACCTTAATTGCTGTCTCAGAGAGCAAACCATAGGCCTAAAAAACAGATACTCAGACTTGTTTTTCTTTTTTATCCTCACCTGAAGACATTTTTCCATTTTTTTTTCAGATAGAGTGGGAGGGGGGAAAGAGAGAGAGAAACATCAATGTGAAAGGAACACATCAAGTGGCCATCTCCCGCACGCCTCCAACCAGGGTTGGGTACATACTGCAACCAAGGTATGTGCCCTTAACAGGAACTGAACCCGGATCTCTCTAGACCACAGGCCGACGCTCTAATCACTGAGTCAAACTGGCCAGGGCCTCAGGCTTATTTTTATCTATCTATCTATCTATCTATCTATCTATCTATTATCATCACCCGAGAAAATTTTTTAATATTTTGTTCAGATAGAGTGGGAGGGAGAGAGAGAGAGAGAGAAACATTGACATGAAAGGGACACATTGAGTGGTCGCCATCCACACGACCCAACCAGGGCTGGGGACAAACTGCAACCGAGGTACGTGCCCTTAGCAGAAACCGAACCCAGGTCTCTCCGGAGCACAGGCCAACGCTCTAACCGCTGAGTCAAACTGTCTAGGGCCTCAGACTTATTTTTATATCTAGGATTTATTTTATTAAATAGGTATAAGGAAATGTTAAGAGTCTGGGGCAGAAATCTTGCATTGAACTGAAAACTTCATATCTTGTCAGTTAGTGTTTATTATAAATAGTAAATCATTATCTACGGCACAGATATTGTATGAGTGGGTGGCTCTAAGGTTGTAGTAGAAAGTCTTGTAGACTATCCATCAACATGTCCTTCTCAGCTTTGGTGGGTCTCACACTCACAATGGCTATTAGGCATTTAAGTACAAAGTATAGCCAGTTTATTTTGAAATTCTCATTTTGGTATTTATTGCCCCATTTAATTTGGGCTGATATGCCTTGTTGAATCTACACAAAGTCATAGACTTTATTCACAGTTTGGTGTGTAAAGTGTGAGTTCCTGTCATTGTTGTTGGGTTGTAGTATAGTAGGTCTGGGAAAGAAACCTTTTGCCATTGATGGCTATTTCAGCCTTTGTACATAGCTTCATTTCTCTCCATTCTAAAGACACTTATAAACATTTATAGAGAAAATCTGTTTTGTTGACTTTTTCAAGTGATTGAAGTTTACTTCGAAAATTTTTATTTAAGAAACATAGGCCTGTGGAAACAGCCCAAGTGGCTATCAGTAGATGAGTATATAAAAAAGCTGTGGTAGCCTGATTGGTGAGGCTCAGTGGATTGAGCATCGTCCCATGAACTGAGAGATCCTGGTTCGATTGCTGGTCAGGGCATGTGCCTGGGTATCCGCTTGATCCACCAGTAGGGGGCGTGCAGGAGGCAACTGATTGATGTTTCAGTCTTACATCAGTGTTTCTATCTCTTCTATCTCTCTCTCTAAAAAAAAATCAATAAAAACATAATATATTTTTTTTAAAACGGTGGTACATTTACACAATGGAACTATGCGGCTGTAAGAAAAGAAGATTTTTACCCTTTGAGACAGCATGGAGGGACCTGGAGAGCATTATGCTTAGCAAAATAAGTCAATCAGAGAAAGACAAGTACTACATGATCTCTTGTATTTATGGAATATAATGAACAAAATAAGCTGATGATCAGAAGATATCCAGAGGCATGGAAGTAGGGAACAGACTGACAAATGTCAGAGGGAAGGGGAGTGGGGGGTGGGAAGAGATAAACCAAAGAACTGATATGCATATATGCACAACCAGAGGACACAGACAACAGTGCAGTGAATTGGGGGCAGGGAGCAGGAGGAGGTGTCAATGGGGGAACGAAGGAAGGACATCTCAACCCTTTCAACAATAAAGATTTAAAAAAAGAAAGAAACATATTCCTGGACTAGTTGTGATTTCTTAAGGACCTAGGGAACTACCCTGAGGAGCCCTTAGCCCACATGGACCCATCCGGGCACGTCTGTTCTGTGTGTCTTAGTCCTCTTCTAAAAAACGTGGCAGGTGGGTGCACACTGAATGCCTCACAGAGCTCACACAGAAGACAGTGCTTTTTGTTTGCTTGTTTAATTCTTTATTCCAGAAAGGACTGGAGGTATCACATCACTATAATAGTTAAATAGAGAGGTAAGTAATGAAAGGCAGGGTTACAAATAGATTTGGGATAAATGATAAGGTCACAAGAAAAGCTTATCAAATTCACTTAGTTAATAAGGTTGAACTGTAAATTTCATTCTACATCTTTTGTGAGATAGAGGATGTTCAATTTTCCCCAATATTCAGATGAGGAAAAAAACTGCAGATCTAAGTATTATGAATAACTGGCAGAACAAATTTAGCCTGGTCCATTTCACCACTCCCTGAGATCCCAGTGACTACACATAACTGTCTCAAAAGTGTCTTGTCCAGGAGAAGAACACACCACTTAAAGGAGACTGAACTTCTGCCTCAGATTTCTCAGGTGTCTTGGTGCAAGCTAGAGGCAATATGCCAACAAGCAGACAGCTCCTAGTGAGGACTTTGAGCCTGCATGGCCTGAAGCAGTCGGCGGTAGGCCGCGCTGGGCCAAAGGCTGCGTCTCTAGCAACTTGTTCTGAGGGTTCGACAGTGCAGGGAGAGGGGGAAGGTGCCGGGGCTGGGTGTGTATCGGGATGGCCAGAATCTAAGAAGTGTTGTGGGAACATTGCTCTGCTACGTGCCCTGACTAAGGTGGGCTCAGGGTCCAGGGGTCCTTCTTTTGCTTATCCCAGGACAGTCCTGATTTACACCTGTCATCCAGGCAGAATTATTGACAGTGTTCCTTCTCACTCAACAGTTCGGATGATAACTGTAGGCCATCGGATGGGGATGATTCTAATCACAGTTTCCTTATTTTTAAGGCTCTTTCATACAAATTTCAATGGCTTATTTTGTGCAAAAGAGGAAGAAACACATACATGGAAAGTAGGATGTGTGTAAATCAGTTTATAGTTATATACTGAAATGCAGACCTCTTTAAATTGCTTTTAAAAAGTGACACTTAATATTTTTATGTTTTCTTATAAATTGGAAAAGATGAATAAGGTCAACTGACTTGTTTGGATATTTCTGGCAAAAATGTCACGGTTCTGAACGACTGTTTTGAGGAAAGTTGGGCTTAGAGCTCCCTTTTGTTCTCTGGCAAAGAACATGCCTGAGAATTCATATGTCACATACTGGGGACTCATGCTGAAAGTGAGGAAACCCACTTAAGAAGTTGAATTCCTGTAATTTAATGGAAATAAATACCAGAGAAGCTTACCTTCTTGTCAGACGGTCAGATTTGGTGTAAGCCCGTTTTAACTTGGTGCCTGGAGGAAGTTAACTGG